GAAAATGTCAAGAAAAGAAACTTTTCTCCTTTTCAGAAGAAATTTAGTGAGATTTCTCCCATTAGATGTTAGCAAAGCCCTTCAGGCTGTTACATCTTTACTTTTATCAAACTCCATTTTAATTAGCCCACCTCAAACAAGCAGGGTGCAATTCAAAGTGTGGTAATTTGTTTAGCTAATTCTCTTCAAATTTTCCTTGTTGAATACTTATTGAAACACCAATAGATGGTCTCAGTGAGCATTTGAACGTTATACAAGGTTTCAAAAAGTTAACTATTTCCCTGCGTATTTGCTGAGGTGCTTCAGCGAAGCTTCACCTCATCATTTTGCTTTTCTTGTCATCACTCTGACCTCGTTATCTATTCCTGTCCAACAAAATCAAGGTGTTGTTTGAAGTTTTTTAGACTGACATTTATAAGTAGCTAAATATGTCAGTGCTTAAATTTGAGAACAACTTGGCCCTAAAAGTCCTTGAAAAGTATTTAAATTTAAGGTTGAACCTGATTAGTTTATCATGTCTTACTAAATGCTCAATAAATAAAGCTTAGAAATTAATTTTTATAAAATTATTTATAGTAAAACTTAAGTATTTAAGCTCCAGAGTTCAGAAAAAGTAAAATAAGAGTCAAGCTCCAGAAAAATAATGACACTGTTTGGAAATGTTGATAAAAGAGGGATGATTACAGCATTAAAATCCTCAAAAAACCAACCGGCAGCTTTTACATGAGATTCATCTCTTACTCTAACCCCAATCATTAGTCTGTATAAACATACTAAAGCACATAATAAAACATAATAGTTTTCTCCATGCAGATATTTTTTTAAACTAAAATCTTCACTAAGAACATCTTGGTTCTCTTTCCTCTCCTACATGGAAACCCTTCCAGGATGCAGCGGATAAAATCACCAAGCGCTTTGATGCTATTTTGCTCCAAGGTTTTGAAGATTCTACACAAAAGAACAACATTCGACCGACATAACAGAATCTCAAGATAATGAGACAAATTACGTGAGTGCAGGCAGCATCAGATCCCAAACTTTTTATCTATGAACAATACAGATAGCCCCTGTGGAGAGCAGGCTGAGGCTTTTTGTCCCTCTGTATGCCTTTCACTGAGGGTTCTGCAGCTGCTATCCACCAAGAGGAGCTGTGGATAGAAATAAACACCAGTCTTTTACAGTGGTGCACTGATGGAACCAGGAGAAACGTTGTCACCAACTGTTTTTTTTTTTTTTATCTTATAAAAAAACAGCAGAATCTCTGAATAAATTATCGTTTAAAGTTTTGGTGTTTTTGTTTTTTAATAGACGTCTCTTGTAAAATGTTAGTTTACTGTGTCCATACCAAGGATGTACGTTGTTGGGATTTTATTTGATATTTAATAAATCAACTGGCCGATAAACTACTCTGTCCACTAGACCTGCTGCAGATAGTACTTGGTTAGTACAGCGATCCCACAGTTCAGTTTACTACCTATTTTACAACCTCTGCAGCATTTTTTACAACACAAAATCAAGCCTTTGTCTTGACTAACATCCTCCTCATACCCCCAAGCCCCTCCTCTCACGATGATACAGAAAAAGAACATTTAATTTTTTATTTATGTCAAGACTCTGTACCTTTAAGTCCAATTAATATATAGAAGAATACATTTGAATTTATAAATACTACTGATCTGAAGTTCAGTTTACAGAATAAATCAGTTTATCATCACATTAATATGGCAGTACCATTTTACCTTCACAGAAATAGGAAATATACTTGGACTCTTCTGTTAAAGTTAACAGTCTAAGGTAATAAGCTTAAACTGTTTTTTTCTCAAATCACTTTGAGATTTATAAAGTGAGTAACTTATTACAGTGAGGCAACGTTGTGAGAACTTTTAATTCTTCAAAGTGAGGTGCTAAATGACTAGTCAATGTGAGCTCAGGTCCTGCTGTCCTGTCATTAGAATTTGTTTACTGGTTTTATAATTAAATATTAATGTAAAATTTACAATAAATTGAAGGGTGACCAAAATTGTACTATCAGGTCAAATTCTCTTTGTTAACTTTGGCCACCATTCAGAGGCCATAATTGGAGTTCATTTGATTTACTACTTTTAGAGGATAGAGGATATAGAGAGAATTATTATTCATATTAAAGGTGAGGCATAGAGGATGCGTGCTCGGATATAAACAAGACAGCTTGACAAACGTTTTTTTACTGGGATAGAAATGTCTATCATTTAGAGGAGGCTGTCCCCGGTTAAGTCATATGCATAAAGTGGTTGTTGTTTAGCACAGTTTGGGAGGATTTTTTTTTCTACTGAAGTCCCCGATTTAGGGGACCATCAGGCTGAAGAGGTGTAGACGACTGTCAAACAACTTGACTTCAGTCAGTCAAAGGCTTCTCCAGACAGACCGCAACAGAAGATCCTTCCTGCCTACAGTTCCCAACACCTCCATCAACTTCATTGAAACGGTAATTTAATGTTTTGTTGTTCAAACTGAGGGGTGCACAGTTGGTTAGCACCAGAGATGGCAAAAGTACTCACTTTCCGTACTTGAGTAAAAGTACAGATACTTGTGTTAAAAAATACTCTGGTAAAAGTGGAAGTACTGATTAAACTTCTTTACTCAAGTAAAAGTAACAAAGTACAGGCTTGTAAATTTACTTAAAGTATAAAAGTAAAAGTAGAAACCACTTTTTTCATGCCGTTGCCTACATTTTAAATGGATGTCTGCCAATAGGACTAGATCTCGGTTGTGTTCATTTTCAATCATCTCGTCGTCCATGCTACTATGCTAACGCCACCGCCACCAAGCTGCAATGATTTGCCGCCAATGAATAGCGCCGAATCTGTCGATTCATCTTGTAGCGGTGCGTCAAATGCAACGTAGATTCCCATCCAATTAGATTGAATTTGGTATTGATGACGTGAAAAATAATAACGGTAACTCCATTGAAATGATTCAAAACTAAAGTAACGAGCCAATTTTTAAAAATGTAAGGAGTAGAAAGAACAGATATTTGTGTAGAAATGTAAGGAGTAGAAGTAAAAAGTCGCCATAAAAATAAGTAGTAAAGTAAAGTAAAAATATCAGAAAAATCTACTTGAGTACAGTAACAAAGTATTTGTACTTCGTTACTTCCCATCTCTGGTTAGCACTGCTGCTTTGCATCAAGAAGGTTCCAGGTTCGATTCCCAGCCTGGGGTCTTTCTGCATGGAGTTTGCATGTTCTCCCTGTGCATGC